TCAAAATTGTTTGAAAATGAGTAAAAAAATAATTCAAGTGGATAAAAATGATAAATTATTGACTGTTATAAGATGCTTAATTATTTAATGTAAAAAGATAATGAAAAGGGGGTCTGTGGCCGAGTGGTTTAGTTGTTTCAAACCTCTTGCCCCTCACTGCTGGGTGTTCAAATCCTGACGGGGACTTTGGATACTTTCATGTGAGTCAGTGATACTACTCAGGGGCCTGTTTGTGCCTTAAATAATTCACATAGGGGCATTTGAGATTTCCTCCACCAGTAAAGCTGGAAAGTCGTCATAATGGCCTACACTTTGTTGGTGCGACATGAAAACAAACAAAAAGAAAAGTAAAAAGAAAAGTACTCAAAAATGAGTCTGGATTGCAGCAGCTTTAAGAACTTAAGTATTGCTACAAATCAGCCTTCTTTGTCCTTGATGAAATATAATAATTATTAAAGGAATGGCATTCCCTTAAATCAAGACAGAGAGTACTTTAAAAAAAACTGATGTAATACATTATAAATACACCATAATGGAATAAGATAATGCATTATAAAAACACTATAATGGAATAAGATAATGCATTATAAATACACTAGAATGGAATAAGATAATGCATTATAAATACACCATAATGGAATAAGATAATGCATTATAACTACACAATAATGGAATAAGATAATGCATTATAAATACACAATAATGGAATAAGATAATGCATGATAAATACACCAGAATGGAAGAAGATAATGCATTATAAATACACCATAATGGAATACGATAATGCATTTTAAATACACCATAATGGAATAAGATAATGCATTATAAATACACCATAATGGAATAAGATAATACATTATAAATACACTAGAATGAAATAAGATAATGCATTATAAATACACCATAATGAAAGAAGATAATGCATTATAAATACACCATAATGGAATAAGATAATGCATTATAAATACACTAGAATGGAATACGATAATGCATTATAAATACACCATAGTGGAATAAGATAATGCATTATAAATACACAATAATGGAATAAGATAATACATTATAAATACACCATAATGGAATAAGATAATGCATTATAAATACACTAGAATGGAATAAGATAATACATTATAAATACACCATAATGGAATAAGATAATGCATTATAAATACACTAGAATGGAATAAGATAATGCATTATAAATACACCATAATGAAAGAAGATAATGCATTATAAATACACCATAATGGAATAAGATAATGCATTATAAATACACCATAATGGAATACGATAATGCATTATAAATACACCATAATGGAATAAGATAATACATTATAAATACAGCATAATGGAATAAGATAATACATTATAAATACACCATAATGGAATAAGATAATACATTATAAATACACTAGACTGGAATAAGAAAATGCATTATAAATACACCATAATGGAATTATATGATACTCCAGAGAAATCATTGTATTTAAATTGTAGTAAGATTTGACAAACAAACAGAATGCCTGAATGCAGATTTGTTAACCCTTTACCACATATATACGCGAAACAACGCACTTTCGACCCCCCCCCCTTTTTTTAGGCCTCAAATAGTGAAAAAATGTCCTATTTGGGCCCCAAACATAAGTTTTCGTTTGAGAAATGTTGCTTAAAAAATTGAGCACTTTTTCGGCGCCGCCCCCCATCCAAAAGATACATCAGGGGGTTGCCAGAAGGGGGATGTGCCCCCTTCTGTTAGGGGGGTTTGAAGGGGGCGGAGTCCCCCTCATCGCCAAGAAAATTTTGGACTTGTGAGAGGCTAAAAATGACCCCAGGTCGATCATAATGTAACGTTTAACCAACGCTGAAAAACTTTTGACTCTATCTCAATCCCTTGAGCAGTTGCAGCACTTTGAAATCAATTTTGATGGAAAGTCAACGCAAAATAGTGATTTTTTGGCAATTTTGAGATGTCTCCTCGTTGCCATGGTAACAGGAAATTTAAGACTGAGCATGTCGTTACAAAGACAATGGTCCAGTCAACATTTGTGCCAAGTTTGATTAGTATTGAAGCATTTTTCATAGTTTCATAGCAGTTTGAACTTGTAACAGGAGGCTTTTCAGTGAAAACGGCCATTTTTCACAATATGCTCATGGGGGAAAGGGTTAACTAAAAAAATTATAAATGTTACAAAACAACAATTTTTCACCAAAATTAGGGGAAATACGACATGTTAACATGGAAAAACTAGTTTTTAGGTGATTCCAAAGTTTTTCATCATTTTTTGTTAACCCTTTACCACATATATACGCGAAACAACGCACTTTCGACCCCCCCCCCTTTTTTTAGGCCTCAAATAGTGAAAAAATGTCCTATTTGGGCCCCAAACATAAGTTTTCGTTTGAGAAATGTTGCTTAAAAAATTGAGCACTTTTTCGGCGCCGCCCCCCATCCAAAAGATACATCAGGGGGTTGCCAGAAGGGGGATGTGCCCCCTTCTGTTAGGGGGGGTTTGAAGGGGGGCGGAGTCCCCCTCATCGCCAAGAAAATTTTGGACTTGTGAGAGGCTAAAAATGACCCCAGGTCGATCATAATGTAACGTTTAACCAACGCTGAAAAACTTTTGACTCTATCTCAATCCCTTGAGCAGTTGCAGCACTTTGAAATAAATTTTGATGGAAAAAATCGAGGCAAAATAGTGATTTTTGGCAATTTTGAGATGTCCCCTCGTTGCCATGGTAACAGGAAATTTAAGACTGAGCATGTCGTTACAAAGACAATGGTCCAGTCAACATTTGTGCCAAGTTTGATTAGTATTGAAGCATTTTTCATAGTTTCATAGCAGTTTGAACTTGTAACAGGAGGCTTTTCAGTGAAAAAGGCCATTTTTCACAATATGCTCATGGGGGAAAGGGTTAAAAGTCTATTCAAAGATGAATAATCTGATAGGGGTGATTTAATAAATGCAGGCCCATCTTGGGGAAATAATCAACAAAACACAGACTTTGCTGTTATATTATGCATTTATGGTCTATAATGATAAACACTATAAATTGAGATGAAATATGCATTATTCATGCAGGGGCAATTTGCATTATTCATTTAATTATTGTACAATATCAATATAAATTTAGGGCCAACATGCATGATTCATTTACTTATTGTACAATATCAATATAAATTTAGGGCCAACATGCATGATTCATTTACTTATTGTACAATATCAATATAAATTTAGGGCCAACATGCATTATTCATTTAATTATTGTACAATATCAATATAAATGTAGGGCCAACATGCATTATTCATTTAGGGGCAATATCGTTAATTCATTATTCATAACAAGCAATGCATTATGAATTCAAGGGCAATAACTTAAGGAGGATTTTATGCAGTTTATATTTAATATTAGTTTAGGGACAATAATGCATTATTCATATAGGGACAATATGCATAATTCATTTTTGGGCATTATGCATTATTCAATTTTTTTTTATATTACTTATTTTAGGCCATTATCAATAAGCAACTAAAGGGCAATTATTAATTGATTTTGGGGCAGACTATGTATTATTCATTTAAGAATGGTATGTATTATTCATTTAGAGACAATATTTATTATTCATATATTTTCACTGTGAGAAAATAAATTTATCAAACAGACTGACAGTTAGGATTCAGTCTCTATAAAGACAAAATTGATCTAGTGGATATGCATTAAGACATATGCAATAAATTCACTCATTAATTACCTAGAACAGGGAAGGAAATTATTTAGTCTTCTGTGACCATAGCAGACTGGTTATTTGTAGAATATCAATTAAGAATGTAGACTGGTTTAAATTATCCAACTGTCTATGGATCTTGTATTTTTTACTTGAATAATGTATTGGCCCTTTTCTGAGACGAAGCCGGGACACAGACAAAAACAATAGACTGGTACACAAACAGACAGCAGACTGTGTAACAATGTGATCATGAAGTTTTTCTGGAAATCAACAACAGTAATTTATCTGTCTCATAAATATTTCATAAAGATTGATAATTTTCAGAAAAGTCAGCAGTCTCAAGGCCAGATCATTTCATCACATCTAATCTTTGATCCCTGTCTGATGAATAGTTCTTCCATTTTCCACAAGATATGAATCATTTTGTTGTGTTTTCTTTTGTTTTGTTTCATCAGGTTATAGTGAATGTTTTTGTTCTGTTGTAAATTTTGAGGGCTATAGGTGACATCATTCTGTAGTATTGAGAGCTGTAAGAAATAAAGCTTATAATATTATTGAGGGCCATAGGTTTAAGCTATAATATTGAGGGCTATTGGATAAATCTATAATTGAGAGCTATAAGAAATAAAGCTATATTATTGAGGGCTATAGGTTTAAGCTATAATATTGAGGGCTATTGGATAAATCCATAATTGAGAGCTATAAGAAATAAAGCTATATTATTGAGGGCTATAGGTTTAAGCTATAATATTGAGGGCTATTGGATAAATCTATAATTGAGAGCTATAAGAAATAAAGCTATATTATTGAGGGCTATAGGTTAATTAGCTATATTATTAAGGGTTATAGGTTAAAGCTATAATATTGAGGACTATAGCAGTAATATTGAGGGCTATAGCAGTAATATTAAGGGTTATAGATTTAAGCTATATATTATTGAGGGCTATAGGTTAATATTGAGGGTAAAGCGTTATAGCTGTGATATTAAGGGCCATAGCTATAATATTGAGGTCTATAGCTTTATATACTGCACTCTTGAGCTATTAATATGTAAGTAGTTTGTGTGTTGGAGGGAAATGTCTATTATGTTTTGAATTTAAATATAGAGGACTAAAGATGCAATATTGAGGAAAACAATGGAATGTGCAGGCATTCATGTCCTTTCGATACATTTCTAGGTTTTTAACAAATTTGTTTTTGTGGCCTGCAGCTTTAATTGTTCTTTGAAATTGTATTGTGGATATGGTAATACAAAATGTAAAAATTATTTAAGGCCAAAACTGTAATATTGAGGGCTTTAGCTGCAATATTGAGGGCAATAGCTGTTATATTGAGGTCTCATGTAGCTGCAATATTGAGGGCAATAGCAATAATTTTGATGGAAGGTATTGTCTATTTTGTATTGAATTTAGGGCCATAGCTTAAATATTGAGGACTTAAGATGCAATTTTGAGGGAAATAATGGAATGTGAGGGCATTCATGTGATCTTTGAAAACATTTCAAGGTTTTGAGAAAACAATTGTTTTTCTGACCATCTGTGGCATGCAGCTTTATTAAAAAAACAATATTTTATGACCTTCTGTGGTGTGCAGCTTTAATAAAAAAAATCTTTTTATGACCTTCTGTGGTGTGCAGCTTTAATATAAGTTGAATGTGACCTTGCAGTGGATTATAAAGAACTGTAAAACTGTATTGTAGATACGGTTACACTCGCATTTATCTTAGAATATAATGATCAATACCAACTGTTGCTAGATTAGATGAATAATGTTGCACTATAAATTGATAAAACATTTTAACTTGTGCGTTATTGTACACTATCTAACATGCAATGTTTTCGTCTTTCTTTATTTTTTCTCGCCAAAATCTGTTATTGCAGAAATTTCTTGTGCATAGAGCATAATGGTTTTTAATTGGAAAAAAAAATCGAGGCTATTTTGATGTGATGAAATTTTGTATGGTGTTGTTGTTGTTTTTGTTGGATTTTCTCTGAAAGCATTTTCGAGCGATGTTGACTGGATTTTGAGGTCAATACAAGCTGTGACGATATTTATGGCTTCACAAAATACCTGGCGTATTACTCATTTACTTATCCTTGCAAGGGAAATCATTACCTTATGTAAGTATATTGTAAAAGTTTGAATGGAAACAATCTATAGGAGGTGTCAGAGTTTATCTTGTTCCTTGACAGGGAAATTATTACCTTATGTAAGTATATCGTAAAGTTTGAATGGAAACAATCTATAGGAGTTGTCAGCGTTTATCTTGTTCCTTGAGAGGGAAATTATTACCTTATGTTAGTATATTGTAGTGTTTGAATGAAAACAATTCTGATCTGATTTGTATAGAGTTGTCAGTGTTTTATCTTTTGGAACTAGGACTTTTGGGATTTAATTGTGTAGGGTACAGTTTAACTCATGTTTAACTTAAAGCAGCATGCTTCTAGAATGATGCTAATTTTTATGAAAATTTTTAAAAATGTATTAATTAAGAAGTAAAATGTTGTGAAGTGAACAAAGATAATAATTATATATATTTTGTAAATGGCACTTAAAATCTACAAAAAATAACAAAAATAAGTCAGAATGTGCAAAAAATAGCCCTTACTGTGTTATAGTCACACAGTAGAAATAATGGTGTTAAATAACGCAAAAGTCATTTAACCCTTGTAACATGTAAATTATTCTTTGAATTGTGAATATTTTTACGTTTCTTAAAACATTAATTCCTTTAGTTGATTTTCTTAAGATATTTTGGCTTATCTGGAATCATGTAATTTTAAAGCAGCTTGAAGACTTATTAATTTGTGATGTTGATATTAATTTCCTGACATCATTAATTTTGTTCACATCATCAATTTTCATGACAATATTTGTTTGCTGCATCAATTTCATGACAATATTTGTTAATATCGTCAATTTTCATGACAAAATTTGTTCACATCATCGATTCTCATAATTATATTTGTTCACATCATCAATTTTTATGACAATATTTGTTTACTGCAGCAATTTCATGACAATATTTGTTAATATCGTCAATTTTCATGACAATATTTGTTCACATCATCAATTTTCATGACAATATTTGTTAACATCATCAATTTTCATGACAATAATTGTTCACAACATCAATTTTCATGACAATATTTATTAACAGCACCAATTTCATCACAGTATTTGTTCACATGGTTAGTTCTCATGCAGCAATTTTGTGGTGTTTTTTGTTCAGACTATCATTCTTTCATATGACACATTTATTTTATGTATAAATATCAGAAATTCTTGACAAAATTTGTCATTACTATTTCATGACATCATAAATTGTGTTGTTCTATTTCCTATCGTTTACATTTTGTTCTTACTGTGTCATATCATTTCCCTGTCACCCTTTCTTTCTATCATTCCAAAATGCCATTGGTCTTAATGTTAATTACTTTGGGATTACCTCCACAGGCAAAAATAATCATAAGTAATTTGGGGAAAGTTCTTTCCACTTAAATTGTCATAGCAACAGGAGGGAAAAACTTAATGTAATTATTTCTGGAAAGGAAACTGAGTCTTCCACTGTGACCCTGTATCAACTTTTTTTCAGATAGCTATATTTTATATTGGATTATGACATTTGGTCATTTTGTTAGACTCACTATTTAAGATATTGTTGTTCTGCATCCTTTCCTTATTTACTTAGTTCAATTAAGATATTGATGTATATTAATACTTACCTGAACAAGTAGTTGCTTGTATTCCACACATTGCTGTTCATGGCATGGCATGAAAATGTCACATTGAAGATTATATGATTGCCACCATATGAACATGATTGTGGTGGTTATGTTTAAAAACTGGTATTTTATCACCATTTTCATATGTAGAGTTCTGCTTTAAAGCCGGTACTTAGGTGCATGAACCTCGGCTTGCATAATTATGTACACTGCCATCCATAAACATGCTCGATCGGAGTACATCCGAACAATGCAACATTTTCAATTATGATTGTATGACCTAGTGTTAAGGATTCCATTATGATTTATTCTAGAATGAAATGACTTAATAGCGAGCTCGACAAGCTGGCCCAAAGGGCCTGCTCACATAGCAAGCTTTACGGTAACGCGAGTATCTGCTAAGTGATGGTTTTGAAAACTTTCGTCCGAAGTACCGATTTGACACATCGCAACTTTTTGAATTACAAGATAACGATAAAAGCCGATGTACTCTGATTGAAAACGGAAGCGTAGACTGGTGTCCTACGCACTTATATAGGAACCGTAATAAAAGAGGGAACCAGAATAAAGGGAAGCAGTGTATAAAAAACCAAATGACAATTTTAAAACGGAAAATGTAAAATAAAAATGAACGATTATTTTAAACTTTTTTACGGAAAAAGAAAATCGAGCTCGCTTTGAGGCTTTGCCTTTTTCATATTATTGAGAAAAGAAGAATCCCCAATCCTGAAATAATTTTTAGATTAATGTGTTTTATGTCAAAGATATTGAATGGAGATTTATTTATAAAATTGTTATTGTTGTATTTTTCAGAGTCAATGTGAAGCTTGATTTTGTTGGATCATGCTGTACTCTTGTTGCAGAAGAGCTTCTGAATGACCCAGATTTTGAGTTAGAGGACACAGTAGCTGAGCTGCTGTATGGTAAGATGAATTATTTTATCACTACCTTAAAATTGGCTAAGTGGTCATTGACTTCAAACAACTTGCCCCTTACCGCTGTGGGTTCGAATCTTTATAGGGACTTTCATGTGAGAAATCCTATCCAGCTAGGTTACAGCCTGTGTGCCTGTTCTTGCCTGAATTAAAATGCACGAAAGGGTGCTTAAGGACTTCCTCAATCAGTTAAGCTGAAAAGTTGCTGTAATGATCTATACTGTAGTGATGCAACCTAAAACCCAACAAAAAAATCTAAATTATTTTTTCGATATTGAAAACCCTTCAAATCAAAAATGGACTCTTCCAAATTAAAACAATACAAGTCAATTATCAAATCAAATCCAGCAAAATATTCCAAACTATCAATGATAAGTTCAATTTTCAAAACATGGCAAGTTCATTTAAATTTTTGCATAAAAAAGTTAAAAAATAAAAATCCCTCAATCTTAAAATGGACAGTTCCAAAATCAAGGTAGGCCAAGTTCATTATGTAAATTTATTAGGATAGAGGTTAAATCCTTTCACCTTGAAACCCCACCCAAAATTGACGAATATGTGCATTACACATAATAACCAGGGAAGGTTTGGGGTACAACAGATGTGTAGATGTTTGGAAATTCCTAACTCTGGGCAATTCCAAATTCAGAGCAGGTCTGAAATCCATTATACAAATTTAGCAGGGGAAAGGTTTTGGAGGGGGAAACAGCTTTTATCTTAGATGTGTGAACAAGTAGCAATAAATAAACCATAAAATACATGATAAAATAAGACAAGTGGTGTTCAATATCATGGAAACCTTGAGTAAATAGCATTTTCCATGGAATTATTGATGTTAACCTTTGCCATGGGATTATTGGTGTTGGCATTTCCAATGGGATTACTGAGGTTTGCATTTCCTGTTGGATAAATATTCTTGGCATTTCCCATGGGATTATTGAGGTTGATCCCATTGGAGTATTGAGGCTTAAATTTCCAGTGGTATTATTGATGTTTACATTTCTTATGGGATTATTGAGGTTTATATTTCTCATGGGATTATTGAGGTTTATATTTCTCATGGGATTATTGAGGTTTATATTTCTCATGGGATTATTGAGGTTTATATTCCCATGGGATTATTGGGGTTTTCATTTCCTATGGGATTTGTAAGGTTGGCATTTCTAATGGGATTCTTGAGGCTTACATTTTCTATGGAATTTATAAGGTTGACAATCCCATGGGATTGTTAATTTATACAAATTTATTTTAGTTCTATTGTGTTGGAGGCTATAAGCTTATTGAAACATTATTCTCAAATCCGTTCCTGGAACCAACCAGTTCTAAGCAATGAATGTTAAGTTTCTTGCTCAAGGAAACAACGACTTGCCCCTGACATGGTTTGAACCCATGTGGTCAGCAATCCTTAGATAACTAGTCTAACACGTTAACCACTTGGCCAAGCCGCCATGGGATTGTTGAGGTTTACATTTTGCAATGGCATTAGTAAGGTTGGCATTTGCTATGGGATTTTTAAGGTTGACAGTCCCATGGGATTGTTAAGGTTTACATTACCTATGGGATTATTGAGGCCAACATTTCCCACAAGATTATTGAGGTTTATGTTTCCTATGGGATCAGTAAGGTTGACATTTCCCATGGGATTATTGGAGTTTATACAATCCAATGGCATTATTGATGTTGGCATTTCCAACAGGATTATTGGGGCCAATGTTTCCAACAAGATTTTTGAGACAAACATTGCCCATGGGATTATTGAGGTTGACAATTCCAATTGAATTTGTAAGGTTGACATTTTCCATGGGATTATTGAGGTTTACTTTTACCACAGAATTATTGAGGTTGGCATTTCACATGGAATTATTTGCCATTGGATGATTTAGGTTTATTATTGCCATGGGATTATAAGGGATAACATTATTGAATGACATCTTTTAGTAGTAACTGTTTTGATATGAGCATGTGGGACTTTTGGTGGTCAACTGATGAAAGAACTCACAATATTAGTATGGAGTATTGAAAAGTGGACATATCCAAAGGGGGACCCATTTAATCGCAGCAAAGTTGATTGAACCCGTTCATTGATGGCATTGGTGAAATTGCAAGTAAAGTCAGAAATCAGTTTTGTGCAATTTCATTCTAAGACTTGACAATTGAGAAACTATTCTACCCTGATGTAACCATGCTAAATTTTTGTAATATATTTAATTTTGTTTATACAAGATTCTACTAAGTAACCAATTACAAACAAAAGTATCCCAGTCTGTTCAATACGTAATAACATAACTCTTACAATACTGATGGCATAATTCGTCACTTTAGTGCAGTAACAGGTTAACTCTTAATATAATTCAATAGGAGTTAACCTGTTACTGCACTAAGGTTACAATATGTCTGATAATGTTGCTACTGACACTGAAAGAGTCAATTACCATAAAAAACCTAGGAATGTATGTGATGGATAAGCGAGAAATGTTTTATTTTGGTAACTATAGAAAAAGTAAATGGCATCTCCCATGGGATTATTGGTGTGGCTGCCGGGAGGTTAAAGTTACTTTGAACTATCAACTTGATAACATGTTGATAGGAGATTTACACGCAAAGAGAGTTAAGAACTTGTTATTCTGGGGAAAAGGAAGCCCAAGGATAAAATGTTTCTGCCACATCATTATAAAAAAGTAGATGATTTGTATCAATTGATTTGATGCTGAACTATTTTTTTTAACAGCTGTTTTTGAATGATGGATTTGTTTGCAATTTATATCTTTAAATCAATCAATGGTTGTTTCTTATTGACCTTCAATCAAGATTGTTGAAATCATTTAAATTCATTGAATAATAATGTCCATTTAGTTTATTCAAATTTATTTTAGTTTGATTGTGTTGCAAGCTATAAGCTTATTGAAACACTCTCTAATCCTTTTCCTGGAACCAACCAGTACTAAGCAATGAATGTAAAATTTCTTGCTCAAGGAAACAACAGCTTGCCCCTGACAGGGTTTGAACCCACGTGGTCAGCAATCCTTAGATTACTAGTCCGACACGTTAACCACTCGGTCACGCTGCCACTTGGGTGTGTTGTCTCATTTTAAGTAGTGTATAAAGGGAAAACTTTGAAAATCTTTTTGTGAAAAAATTGTTAGTTTAATTTTGAAATTGTGTCATAGACTGAATCATAAGAATTATGACCTTTTCAAACAATGACTTTCAGGTGAGCAAACTTAGGCCATCATAGTCCTTTTGTTGAATAGACATGTAAAATTTCATTTCTGATAACAATAATAATACAATTGTGAAGAAAAACAAAACTGCAATGATAGATTTCCATATATCATGACGATAATGATCATTTGAGCCGCGCAATGACAAAACCAACATAATGAGTTTACGACTAGCATGGATCCAGACAAGCCTGCGCATCCGCACAGTTGGATGAGGATCCATGCTGTTCGCTATCAGTTTCTCTACTTGTTATAGGGTTTGTAAGCGAACAGCATGGATCCTGATCAGACTGCGCGGATGCGCAGTCTGGATCCATGCTGGTCGCAAACGCATTATTTTGGTTTTGTCATGACGCGGATCAATTGTGTGTATGGAAGGACAAAAGAGAGACAAAACTGTATTGACCATATTGTGTATTGTCTGACATCAATTATTATAATAAAGAAAGGAAAATCATCATATCAGGGGAAAATGGTTGGCAGATTGAATTAGTATATTTAATGACATGGAAAAAAGCTGTCATTTAGTTATCAGTAGCTATATAAATGGCAATCCTGTAATGCCGCAAGTATAATATTAGAAGAGCAGGCATAGTGGTCTATAAGTAGCAATCTTTGACTTATAAGGGGTTGCATCTTTGATCAACCCACTACTACAACTAAAATTAGTTTATACAGAATTTATTTTTGTTTGATTGTGAAGCTTTAAGCTTACAAATACACTCTAGAATTCACTGTGGTCAGGGGCAAGTCGCTGTTCCCTTAAGTAGGTAGCTTTACATTCACTACTTAGTGCCACACAGTTGGTTATAGGAACCCCATCAGGGGCAAGCAATTTTTCTTTAGCAAGTAATTTAACACTCAGGGACAAGCCATTATTTCCTTTAGCTAGTAACTTTAAACTCAGGGGCAAGCTATTATTTTCTTTAGCAAGTAACTTTACACTCAGGGGCAAGCTATTATTTTCTTTAGCAAGTAACTTTACACTCAGGGGCAAGCTATTATTTTCTTTAGCAAGTAACTTTACACTCAGGGGCAAGCTATTATTTTCTTTACTTTTATTTTTTTTACATTCAGGGCCAAGCTATAATTTCTTTTACATTCAGGGCCATTAGCCATTATTTCCTTTAGCAAATACCTTCACACCCACTTTTAAGTACTGGTTCCAGAGTGTGTCAATAAACTTATTATGCCTCCTTTTCGATTAAAATAAATTCTGTATAATCTAATAAATAAATGAAAGCAAAAAATACATAAATAGACAAAACAATATTGACCATACATCGCATTGTCGGAAAAACAATAATATGGGGGGGGAAAAAAACATTATGAATCATCATGAAAAAAAAAAAAAAAAAAGAAACTACAGCAAATTTACTTAGCATTATATGAAAAGTGTTTGAGGTTGATTAACTTGGGATGAGTTTTTCAGTACGCTAATTCTCGTTTGTATTCATTGTATTATATAAGTACCCTCGAAGGAATTAGGAATAAATGAACCATTAAATATATTTACATATAATGTCATGTACAAACGGGCTGTATTGGCAAAATAGACACTTGTGTAAGCAAAACACTCCATGGTTATCAATACAAAATACATCATTTATCAATGATTGATGCAGTAAAAGTATTATTGAAGTTATTATTGCTTCACAGAAAAACACATACATGATGTTATTTCATTGATTGGGAAAAGGGTGTAGATAAAGCATGCCTTTGTGGTAGAATGGTACTAGGCATGTAAAAGAACCATGGGGTCTATTC